TTTTATGTTATTGCCATGAAATAAACAACAAAGTGTATATGTCATTTTATTTTTAAAGCTAGTAAGCTTTCTGGAATATTTCCCAACATGACTCGTAACTAAAATTATAAAATTCATATTTTATTTTTCCTGTATTTTATCGCTAATACATATCAAAGCGGCTTTGTTCTTATGCAATTACGTAAGGTTAATTCACAATTGCCGCAATCCGCGCATTATTGGCTGTCAACAACCGAATGAATCTACTTTTGTTCAGGAATTAACGCAAGTTTGCTTAAATTTATATGATGTGAATAACAGTTATACGCAGTATATTCAAATAAAAATTAATGAACAGGAAACTGGAAAGAGCCGGGAAAATAGTTTCGAGAATATTTCTCAGCGACTCGAAGCGGCGCTTTCTCTTCAAGATAATTGTTAATATTTGTTAAAGATAATTGTTAATACTTGCTACTTTATTTCTGAGGCAGTAGCATAATAAGCAATACGAAGAAAAAGACACACAGATTTTGTTCTATCGTTACAGATTGCTCTCTGTAATGATACAGAAAAAGAGACGAGAGAAAGAACATGTGGTGAACTACACGCGTTGATATCCGCTTTATCGCTGTATGCATTGTATGTTTGATAAAGCCGTTTATACAGAGGGCTCTGACCGATACGGACTTTCAATGCTTCTTATTCCTTCGAAACCATATCTAATTCATTTCTCCTTGTTACTCCGCAATTGTACTTTTTTTCTAATATTTCCGTCCTCTCGTCGGCCTTTAAGAAGATAATCTCTAATAATGGAATCTACACATATAAAGAAAACTTTAATGTCCTCTTTTTTTTCATTTTATTTCATTTTTTATCTTTATTTCAGGTAAGTTTGATCCACAAAGGTTATTATCCGCGTAAAGGAGATAAAAAAATGAGCAAAATATAAGTCGCATATTGTCTGCATGCGATATATTGTCAAAATAAAATAGTATATATATAGAATAGTATCTTAATAATATCTTAATAGTATCTTGATGGAATGTTTGATAAATATGAATTCTGTAAATGTGTACATGTGTGAATAATAGCAAGTTTAGCCATAAATAAATATGTATAATAAAGCCCAATCACCAAATGCATTCAGAAAATATAAGAAGCAATTGGAAATTAATGCACAACATGTAAAAAAAGTCGTGAATAGTAAAATGTTTGTATAATAAAATATATTTTATATATATATATATATATATATATATATATATATATATATATATATTATTAGTT